CGTGGTGCCAGGGCTCGGCCGCGCCCTGGTGCAGGTGGCTGTGCAGCGCGGCCGGCGAGTAGGGGTCGGCGGCGGCGAAGGGCAGCTCCGAGTGCGCGGCGGCCAGCGGGCTGCCCAGCGGCGCGGGCACCGGTGCCTGGTACGCGCTGTTCCAGAAGGAGGCGGGGAAGCTGCGCTGGCTCATCGGGAAGGAGCCGTCTGCAGGCCGGCGAGGCGGAGGGGAGGAAAGGAAGAGAGGAGCGCGTCACCGCGGGGGAGATGGCAGCGCCAACGCCGCGGGGCGGGAAAGCTGAACGCGCCTGGCGGGCAAAGGGCGGGCAAGCCGCGGCGGGGAGCGGACCTGCAGCCGGGCCTCGGGGGCGGCGCCTTTCTGAGGGGGCAGCGGCCTGCGAATTCGAGGTTGAGGCACCGCAAAATGGGGGAAACCCTTCGGGAAGGAGGGCCGCTTCCTCGGAATTTGCAGACGCGTCTCCAGTGCGGAAACCCCAGGACAGACTAGACTGGGAGAGGAAGAGAGGAGAGACACTCCCTTCCGTTCCAGTTTTGGGGCGCAGGGAGCTTCCTCCGACTCGAGGCTGCGCTGCCTCGGCGGCCTTGGGGTAGACTCGGCCTCCGGGTCCCAGCCCGCAGCCTCGCCCCAAGCTAAAGATACCTCTTCCCACTCTTGGTCAGCAGCCTAGCGATTTCACTAGCCCCTCTCGCGTTTCAGCCTCCCCAGCTCCAGAAAATGTACCCCTCCAAGGCTCCGATAGACTGGAAGTCCATCGACATATTTCAAAGTCTTGCTATTATTAGCCTCCTTTCTAGAAACCTACTTTCAAATATTTTTTTTCCAAGAACGCAAGCAAAAGAGTAAACTGGACATACTAAAAGGGCAGTTGTATTATTTGCAGAGGGACGCAAAGGGACAGATCTTTTAAGTTTTAATTAATAATATCTGTTCCTTAAAGTGTGGATGCCAGGAATAATAGTAATTCTTATGGCCAGTATCGCTGTTGACCCCTAGTGCCGGGAAGCATTTTAAGAGAACAACAGCATTTAGATCAAATTTGTTGTCCTTGGTGGGAACGGAGGGAAGGAAAGATATTTAATTCCGGGGGACTTGATCGAGCACCTCCTCTAGGGAAGGCATCTGCCCCACATACTAGAGAATTAAAAATGTGTTGAGAATGCATTCTAAGAGAGAGTAAAAAAAAAAAGTTCTGTATTCCAAACTAATGATTTGAGATCTTATCTAGGCAAAGATTGCACAAACTGTCAGACACTCTTAAGAGAAAAAGGGAGGGTGAGAGTTGTCATCCCCCTCCCCAAATGTCACATTCGTTGTTCTTTTACAAGAAAGTCCTCATTTCTCATTTTGGTAGAACACATCAAAAATTAAATTTAGTGAGAAAGCTTACCAAATAGTTATCCCCACCCTTGCCTGGGAATAAAAAGAGATTGAGATTTCAGAATAGAAGGGAGACTGGCCAATAAATCATTGTCCCAGGCTAGATAAAGCAGTGCTTTGTGAGAAGGGTAGAACAATAAAGAGGGGGTGTTTTGGGGGAAAGCCCTAGAGATGTTTTGGCTGTACCTAAATTTTTATTTCTTTGGTACTTGCTTACTGAAAGACATTTTCTGCTTCAAGATTTCCTAAGTAATTGAAGCCTAGCAAAAAGCATACATACGTTTTAAGAGACATTCATCAGCAGGTTTTGCTTCCGGTGGAGTCTAGGACTTTTTCCTCTGGGCAAATTTTCAGGAACTGCTAAGAGCCCTGGAGGTTGTTGTAGGTGAAGATCTTCCATGTGGCTTGGGATAGTGTTTGAAACCTCACACTCCCACAGCACTTTTACATACATTTTCATATTTGTCGTACAGCCATCTCCAGCGACAGTTAAGAGGGCAAGTATTATCCTAATTTTAGAGACCAGTAAATAGAGTGACCCCAAAGAGGTTAAGAGACTTGCCCAAGGTCATATTGCTAGGAAGTGGTAGGGCCAGCAGGAAAATCCAGGTCTCCCAATTCCAAGGCTAGTGTTTTTTCGAAGTCACTGCCCTGCTCTGCTCCGCCTCTTCAAGGAGAGATTTTTTTTTTTCCTTCCTTCCTTTTACTTACACTCTCCACAAGCCCCTCCTCACCTCCTCTCTGACACCTTTCCTTGAGCCCAGTAGGTGGGCCCCAGGCCGAGAAGGCTCTCTACTTGCCCTTAGAAGCAAGCCCTTTACTCACCCCGCCAGGGCCCGGAGCTCCTGGGTGCTTTGCTGCTTGTACAGCTTGGGGAATAGCTGCTAGGCTGGCTCAGGGCCCTACTGAAGTGCTCATCCACCACAGAGCTGATGTCCCCCTGGAAATAGGTGAAGAGGACGCAGCGGGAGTTGATGTACTCTGCCTCTGGTGGGCGCTCTTTCTCCGGGCTGCCTTCTTCCTCTTTGATACTGGCTGGAGTTTGGCTGGAAAAGGAGCTGCCGCTGCCCGTGCTGTTGCTGGGGCTGGCGTTGCACTCTTGCGCTTCCTGCATCTTGGAGTAATAGGCTAGTTTCTGCTCCAAGAGAGAAAGAACAGAGAGGTCAGTTTCAAAAGAGATGGCAAACTGGGTTCCCACCTCGCTCCGTCAGATCCCTAAGGTATCCAGGGGAAAACTGGCATCCAGGCCTAAGCCCTGTGCTCAGTAACATGCGTGAGCTCCTTGAGAGGCAGATTGCCCTGCCTGGTGTCTCTGGCTCCCCAGAATTCCTGCCAGACCCCAGGGAAGCTCTCTGAAGCTGTCAGGGGAAAAGTCCCAGAAGATGCCAGGCTTTGAGCTGAGTTGGGCCACAGAGCCAGGTTTGGGGCAGATATATTTTTATAATCAGGCTCCAAGGATGAAGGGCACCCAAATCCAGTTAGAGCCTGACTGTCCCCTGCCTAAGAATCCAGGGCAGATGCACAAGATGCAAGATTCAAGCATCATCCTGATAGAGCATGAAAATGTCAAAACCCACTCCATGCAGCCAGGAATGTAGAGGAAAAACTGCCACAGAGGTAGGATATAGTTCCATTTAGGAAAGAATCATGTGGGGTAAAAATGTGGAATAACATTCCGACATGGATCATGTGAATAAATGCAAGCTGATATTTGTTTGGTCGCCCATAAACTGTCCACTTAAAAGTCTATCTCAGTTTTTAAGGAGATCTTCTTTTGAGTAAGGAAAAACCAGACGGCTGGCTGTGAGCATTTCGACCCTCACCAGCTCTGTGCACATTGAGGAAACACGTAATAACAAGGAACGAAGAAGAAGCTCTTGGCCATGAGGATGGGTAAATTGTGGCTGTCTGGTAGTGATTTTAAAAACCAAGTGTAGCTGCTGAAATATTTTCTTAGAAATGAGCAATAGACTGAATGCAGTGTCAACGCATTTATGCAGGCAGAGATGGCCTTGACGCAGGCTGATCATACAAAAATGAACAGAGCACTTAATGGAATAGGTTGGATTGGTCCAGGATCAGGGAGGAGAAAGGACCAAACAGACAGAAAAGCAACCCCTCTCTCTTCTTTGCAATAGTGCCAACCTGGGAAGGAGTCGTCTCAGACCCTGAAGCCAAAAGACTGTAGTTACTTAGTAGAATGACCACTTTTACCACATTCCCGCTTGGCTTATAATGAGGGACTCTGGTGATTCCCCAAATTAACTTTGTGAGACTAAACAAACTCTTAGATGGAAAATTTAAAAGGGGTGGGGGAGGTAGAAGGAGAAAAGCGAAAAGCAAAAAGCAAAACCTACTCCTTCCATCATTAATTCATCAGGAAATTTTCGAATGGACATTCTGAATTTGCAATCAAAACTGGCAAAAACTTGGCCCGGCGGTCCGGAAGTATTTCAGTCTCTCTTGAACAGGAGTCCAGGCCCTCACTTTGGAACCTGCTCCTGACTCCTACAGCCCCCTGGGTGTGTGATCTTATTCTTTGACTGGACTACGGTCTTCAGTTTCTACAATCTCAGCTGAGGACGTGGAAAGAAAAACTGGTCGACCAGACTCCGCCCGGAGAAGAGAGAAATTGGAATAATTAAACGAAACTTCAAGAGTTTGCCGGAACGGGGTTAAGTGGTCTTCTTACAGGTGGGTTTGTGGACTGCAGGGTAGCCCGATGCAGCCACTCAGGCTCTAGAAAGGCGAAATATTATCTCCGAAGCTCGCATGCGCCAGGTCAATTGCACCCCAATAATAATCCCCAGAATTTTGCAAAGATTATAAAACCCACGCGTTCACGCAGTTCTCTTTGTAACGAATTCTCTGGTTCCGGAATTAATTGGCCTGATCCCTTGAGAACTGAAACGGGAAAAAGTCACTCCTCAGATAAGCTTGCAGAGATGGGAACGCAGGTCTTTGTGTTTTAGGCAGAAAGACAGAGACAGGTCTTTGCTTTTGTTCTCTTGTCACTCTCACCTTTGAGACCACAGTTTGGTTTTCCCTGCGTGAGCTTTGCTCGCGTCTCCCCTCACCCGCACCGAAGAATCTGGAGTCCGACAGATCGCTCGCGCGATCCTCGTATGATGGTTCCCCGGAAGGACGGGGCACGCATTAGCGGGCTTAGCTGCCTTCCCGAGAGAGCAAGTGGACAAGCTAAAGGGGTTAGCTCAACCTACAGCGCCGGCAATCCCCGCATCCTCCGGGCTCCCGCCGCTGGCAGGACGCCCCGGACCGGTGCGGAGGTGCCCCGGACCTCGGGGTACAGGCGGTGCTTCAGGAAGCTGGGGCGCGCCACCCGCCTCCAAGGTCCCGGCCCGGAGGAGACACGTACCTGGTGGTAAGGGGTGTAGGCGGCTGCAAAGTAAGGCTGGGGAGGACCATAGACTTGGTACATAACATCCAGACAGCTCATGGCTCCCCGCAGCGGAGACGGCTAAGTGTTTTTTCATCAACTCTGGGTCGGTGGAGCGCAGTGATTCTGCATGGGCGGCGCTTGGACCCGAGCTCCCGAGTCATCGGCGGCGGAGCGGTGGGCAGCGCGCTCAGCGGTTCGGGATCCCGCTCGCAGGCTCCCCTCCCACCCCGGCAATTTGAGCCCGGACCGCGCTCCGGGAGAGAAGCGCCCGGGCTCCCGCTAGTGGGCATTTAAGCCCCACGCCGGACTGGCGTGCTGACGCCACTCCGGGCCGCGAAGGGGGCGGGGACCGGGGGGCCAATGGGGAGCCAGGGACTGGGCCCGAGGGGCTACCCGCGTGTTTCCCCGGGCTCCCCCGCCGCTAGCTGCTAGCCAAGGGTGCGGCGAACCGCGCGCCTCCGAGCCTGGGCCCTGAGGCTTCGCACCAAGAGGAGTAGGATTCCCAGGCTAAAGCTGGACAGAGAAGCAAACCAAGAGAGAGACAGAAAAGGGAGAGAGGGAGGGAGGAGTGCAGGAGGGGGAAAGTGGGGGTTCTCACACTGGGGGAGAGAAAGAAGTTTGATGTGTGGCGGCAAAAGTCCCGTGGGAGAGCCCCGGCCTCAAACTGGAGAGTTGAGAGTGTGCGAGTCCGGGGGTGGCCAGGTGGGGCAGATTATCTGCTCTCGGCTTCTGGTGAGTGCCGGCAGGGATAGCGCGCTCCCCAGGAATCCCCTAGGGGATTCGCGGCACCTCAGACAGGAAGTCGAGGGAGTCGGGAGACTCCTGCCGGACGCGGAGGAGCTCCCTCTGGGGGGGGAAATGGCAGTAGCTGAAGCCGGTAAAGACTGCCCGATGCACCTCCTCTGACCCAGCCCGCCCGCCGCCAGCTCCCACACCTCAGTTCCGCTCTCTGGGGTCGGTCCCTTCTGCCTCTTTATAGAGTTCGATCCCGACACTTTCTCTCTGAAGTCCCCCACCCAAACCCGCTCCGTGGGCGCTGTTCGCGCCCCGCCTCTGGCTCCTCCCGGTGCGAGTTGCTTTCGAGGAGTCCAGGAGGCCCTACCCAGCCCCCGGCAGCCCCGGGTCTCCTCGGCCTGAGTCCTTTAGTGTTGCGGTAACTTCTTGGGACGAGGACTTGTTGACTGCAAGAGGAGTCATGCTAGGGAATGCAGGAAGTCAGACAGGACTTTTGCTTTATTTTAGAGAGTTGAAAGGATGCATTTCAATTGTGAAGCGTGCATCACTGTTCTCTTTCCTGCCCTGAGAGCCTTCCTGGCTCGGATGGGCTTCCTGCCACGCTCTTCATTCTTCCGCAAGCACTCCCCACTCCCAACACAGCCCCCTGGGGAGGAGGGTGTCACAGTGGAGTCCTCCGTCCCGCAAGTTTAGGGATGAATCGAGACAACACTGTCGTGTCGGTATGGCTGGGTCAGGTGGTGGGAAGGGCGTTACAGGAATAGTGGTGGGCCTGACTTGAGAGGGCGGTGGGGGCAGAGCTTGGGAACACTGAGAGCCCAGAACCAAGGAAGAGGCAGCGTGCATTACGGAACTCCAGTTACTACCCAGTTTAAAAACAGCAAAAAGTCTGACATCGATTCCCAGGCTGTAAAACTGCGAACAAATGCACTCTTAAAGATATATTTGTCTTCAAAACGTGAATATTTAAGCCAAATTGTTTCCGGGGTGAGGTTTTGGTTTTGCCCGAATAATAAATGCGAAGTGGCTCCAAGTCTCCAGTTCGGTTTATAAATGGTGAACTGTCCCGAGCGATCGAAGAGTTTCTTGTACGATGTCGACTTTAAAGAAAATTAAAATAATAAAAAAATAAAATAAAGACTCCACTCAGTCCAGTTTTACGCATGCCTTTTCAGGGGTCAGACTGCCTTGTGGCTGAACTCTGCAGGCTCCTAGATCCTTTGGCGATCTAGGCGCACAGGTAGAGCAGAATATCCTTCCCGCCCCCACCCCAACTCTCCCGCCCAGGGTGCTTCGGGGAAGGGCAATCGCTTTGGTTTTCTCTGGAGGCTGAAGAGCGAACCTTCATCCAAAGAGCCGCAAAGTGCCCTCCTGGAGGCGGGAGGAGGGCGTAGAGGTCCCAGCCTTTCTCGCCGCCGAGGCGCGCGCTCGCTGCCGAGGGCCGCTCCGCCCTGCCCCGCGCCAGGTTCTGGCTCCGCGGGCCCGCGCTCCCGGAGTCAGGTCTGAGCGAGAGCCGAGGTGCCCAGGACAGATCGCGGCCAGTAGGTGCGACCACGGAGGGTCACACTCTCCCCTTCTGCGCAGGTCCTGCTGTCTATCTGTGGACACAGAGGTTCTACTTTGGCTTCCTCCAGCTAGGGCATCTCCGGGACCGAGCGTCCTTCGCCGCAGCGCGCTCCTTCCCGCGCTACCCAGGCTCCGCGGCGTGGCTGGAGGTCCGCAGTACTGCGTGGGTAAAGCGCTGGGGCGTGAGCGCCGGATCGTGCGCCTAGCGAGGGCTGGGCAGCTCGATTCTCGTCCTTGCTCACCTCGCAGTAGCCACCTCCTATCCCCTGTACCCACTCACTTTGATATTTTTACTTGACTTTGACCATGGGACCAAAGGAACTTTGATTTTTTCCCACAAATTCAGGAGAAAATAACGACAATCTCTCCGCATCCAGCGAGGCCCAGCAAAATGGTAGTTATGTTTGAGAAGGATTACAGGAGCGGTGACATCCCACGTTTCGAACAAAGACAACGAAGAGAAGGTGATGCCAGTTGCCTAAGGCTGCTTTCTTTTCACATTGCTCAATCTCCTCTACTTGAACCAGTTTTTTAAAACCTTGCTCAAGCTAAGTAAGGGTACTGGCCGCACAGGAGTTTAAAGGAACACAGGAATTGGGGCCAGTGAGCATCGATTTGAATCTAGGCAGGATTGCCTCCCTCCAAATCCAAGGTAAAGGAAGTTGCCTCCCTCCAAATCCAAGGTAAAGGAAGAAAAATGAAGAGTCCGAAGTTTTACAATATGCCCACTGATTGGAACAAGGTCAGTATTTTCCGTGTATCTGGAAAGGTGTCATTTACACAAAGGTAGTATTTCTCAATCAGATGAGATTATGCCTTGATTATAAGCTGAAGTAGAAAGTAAAACAACTAAATTTAATCCCCTCTACCTCCTGTACTCTTGCAGGACATGAACTGATCAAAGAAGTGACAAACCACCAGGACTTGAACTCGTCAGAGAAGTGAGATTTTGATTCAGAGCCTTGGGAATGGACTACAGAAAATTGGGGGAAAAGTCTCTCCCTTCCTCTCTCTCCCCTTCCCCCAGTTATTTTAGAAGAGACTGCACACCAGACAGATGTCTCTGAATTTGGCTCCCCTGACAAATGTATCAACATCCCCAGAAATGTCAACTATTACCATGACAGCTAATCTAATTGCCTTTTAACTTCCTAATTGGACAGAGGGAATATCAAAACTTCTTTTAGAATGAATTCCACTTTATGATAGCTTCATGGCAATTTATTGAGCTGCGAGGAGGGAATTTGCCAAATGAAAGTAGTTAATTCCACCAAAATTTCCTTTTAGTATCCCATTTTAGGGTTCCATTCTTTTTTTTTTCTAGTGTGCAATTCTAACAATATCTAGAACTGTGAAAATAAAAGGTGCCTTTATTCTTGAAGTTAACAAGTGAAGTTAATTACTTTTGAATGATTACATGTTTCAAGATATCACAATGAAATACTTTATTTTGTCTTCAGGAGGGTTATTTATCATTTTCCTAAGCTAATTGACTTCAGTACCTTCAGAATTTGTCTGTCCACCTGTGGCATCTTATTCTGAAAACTGCAAAGAAACAACTTTAAAGGAAGGATGTAGGAATAGAACGAATTTGGAGAACTGACCTGCAGCCAGCCCAGGCCCTCCCTCACCCATGATTTATTTGGATCATTGACTGTTGGCATTTTATGTTGCCTTATGCTGCCAACCAAAGGAGATGAACACAGTGGTAATCTCATAGACATTTTTTTAACCGCTAAACCCATCCTGGCCTGTTTTACAGAGCAGAGATGTATTTGGAATTTGAGAGTACCTGACAAGATTTAGTGGATTCCAAATATTAATAATATTAGTTGAAAACATGTCTGCAAAAGTCAGGTTTTGGGGGCACGGTGTGTTATTTAACAATGGTACTCTGGTAACTAATGGGGAATCCAAATGGTGATTTTATTTAAAAAAAGAAAAAGAGAAATTTCTGTATTCTGAAAGCTCACCTAAAAGCTAAGTAGAGGAATTCCAGTTGGACTTAGTGAAAAACCAAGGCGAAGAGAATTCAATTCTTTTCTTTCTTTTTTTTTTTTTAAAGAGCCTGCTGTGGGACTCAATCCCAGGGCCCTGGGATCATGATCTGAGCGGGAGGCAGATGCTTAACCTCCTGAGCCACCCAGATGCCCCAAATTCCATTATTTTCATACAAACTTAGAATAGCTCTTAATGTCTTCAAGTAAAAACCTTCCATGGTCTACCTTAATGAACAGAAGAGACTACTTCGTAACTATTGACATATATTTAATTACCATAATATTAAACTTTTCCGCTTTCATATATTAAAAACTATTTTCATGTTACATACAAGTCACCTTCAGTTTAGGTGAAATCATCACAACTTTCTGAATTTAGCTTTCTCTTAAGTTCTTATTGATGTCAATGGCCAGTTCTAAGATTGAGAAATATATTTAATACCACATTCATCTTTTAGAAGTAAGTTCTTTTTAATGAGTCTCTATGAAATGCGTGGTATAAAGATATCATTACACAAACTCATATGATTCACACCTTTCAAAATGATAATGTACAAATGGCAAGAAGAGAGATTTGGAATAGGCGTGTGTGAAATATTTTGGCTTGCTATGTTTTTATAAGAGAGTAAGAGAAGGAATTTGCATTCTCTGCTTTTGACTTGGACACAAAGAGTTAAGTCAGAGAGCACATATCAATTATTTCTTAATAGGGAGAAGTTTTCATCTTTACTTGCCTGGAAAAGTCACTCTTAATTGTCTTTAATTTCTGATTATAGTGAAAAAAATTATTTTTTAAAGACACACAGTCTGGTGATATCCTAGAAGCTAACATAACTGTGAAACTTCTTTTGTGACATACAGGGACATAGAGGAATTTGCAGATTCAGAAGGTGGAAGTAGACTGAAGGATTTAAATTGGTGACTTAGATATTTGACAGTGTTGGTGTTGATCCATTCCCAAACTT